GTTCAAAACAAATGAATCCAGCACATCAACCTGAACGTTTCTTTTAATCCTGAAGACCTTGATTAGCTGCTTCAGCTGTTTTTCATCAGGATTGGAGCTAAAATCAGGACAGTGGCTCACCAGGAGCAGGATTAGATGATCTCTTTCCTCCTGCTGTTTTCATGTCTTAAAGGCAGAGTAAGGGATTTCTGGTAGCCAATGTTGATATTTGAAATCACCAAAACAAACACGCCCCTACCCCAAAAGGGTCTTGCCCCTATTTTGATAGCTCCGCCCCACATATACATACGCAACCCAGGCAACGATTAGTTCTGTGAAACAAAGCAAAACCAATGTTACACCGTGTCTACGGACGTGAGCGGCGCGGTGCAACAAATCCCCGACAGAAAACTGCTGCCGGGTTCTATTTATGACGTGCTGACACAAATTTCAAATGGTTTTCAACGGTCGTTTGACCTCTTTCTCGCGTCCAGTGTAGGCAGACTTTAGTTGTTGTAGACACGGTGTTACTCACCTATTGAGAAGAAACAAAGCAACCTCGGCGTCCGATCGCAGGCCTCCGCTCCTTGAGTTCTCTCCAGCGCTGGAAAGCTGATCCGATATTTACACGGGTCCTACTTCTTGCCTTATTGTTCCGCAGACGTTTTCCTCTTTTGTTTTTTATCCGCCATCTCTATCTTTCTGTCGCTCGGCTCGGCTAATGTCCGTCCCATGCACTGAACGCGCTCTCCTCCACATCACGAGTAGACACGCCCCTTATTGCTGATTGGCTACAAGTTTGATTTGCGATTCGGCCAGAATCAGTTTTCTAAAGTGTTTTTGAAAAATCACTTACTCTGCCTTTAATGCAGATACACTTATTGTCCACATGGGAGAGCACATTAGCACATTGATCTGGTCTCATGCCTGTTATCCATCCATCCATTCATTCTCCAAACCGCTTCTCCTGTAGGATCCTATGAGGGGATGCTGAGAACACAAAGTCATTGGCTAATTGTGAACAAACATGATAAATAAAATCAAATAAACATCTAATTCAGCCATGGACAATATAAAAGTTATTTTGTGCCTTATTTTTTATGTCTTTACATTATGAGTTTGCCATGAGTTCAGCAACAGATTTAAGTTGATCTGCTGGTCAAATTATACATTTGTTGTAAAATATTCTAAAATGAAATGTCGGTCCTCACCTACGATTTGCCATCTCGGGTTTGTAGTTTCAGTGAATAACGCGGATAAACTTATTGACCACAAGAGAGAGCTGATGATCAGCAGTTTGTCACCTGCCTTACACACATTTAACCAAATAAAAAGAGACATTTGGTTTTTCTTTAGTATGAAAATGTTAAAGCATGTGTTTTGTAATATGGACATTGGCCCAATCTCTGAAGCAACGTTGAGTCCGTAGGCAATAAACGGTGATTTGTAAGGTAAAAACTGAAGTGTAGTTTTCCATCCGCTCCACCAGGCGGCAGAATCGGGCTTTAGGTTCAGTTTGACACATTCAGATGCTTGACAACATGACGCTTGATAATAGTCACAACACGTGCAAACCGATTTAATAAATCCTGCAGATGACAGCTCAGTTACAGACTTGGCCTGGTAAATGCCCTCCGAAACGCATTCGAGACGGATATAAATCCGATCGCTCAAACCACTTCAGGAGGTGGTCATTAATGTGGCCAAGTGTAAATGGAAACGTTTTAACAAATCGGATAGATAACCGATCAGCGAAAACGCATGAAATGACCAGGTGTAAACAGGCCCATAATGTCACTTAACAACACATTTCCGTCCATAAACAAAACAGACAAACGCTGCGATAAAGTGCAGGAATGGAAGATGTCACGCGACTCGCCTGTAAGTCTCCTTCTCTTCCAGTGTATTTCTCTTGTAAAATTACTAGCACACGTCTAGCAGTACTTAATGTATTTAAGTCATTGTTTAAGTGTTCATTGTTGTGCAATTCAGACACAGTGCTCCTCTTCAGGTAATTTAGTCTTTGTTTACATGCTGCTCTCTTGCTGAGCTCCCTGTCAGACCTTCAGAAGAACAAATTAATCAGTTATTGTCGAGTTACATTTATAATCTTTAAATGAATCGCCATCTCGATCTGATATGATATTATAAAGTAGAATTAAAAGTAATCGTTGTAATCTCTGTTGTAGTCTTATTGTAGGCAATAGGCTACTGGACTGATTAATAGTCAGTTGGTCTGTGAAGTGCCATAGTTTAGTAGAGCAGCAGTGCTTTGCTTCTAATGAAAACCATCCAAGACAGGAATCAGTCCATGTGCAGGAAACCTGCCATTTAGGATTACTTTTATTTAGGAAAGTCTCATTGTAGTTTCAGATTCATGATGCATCATTACTTAAGTATAATGCACTTTAGACTAACTGTAATATGTTGAGTTTTAGCTACACTGTATGGATTAATGTCGGTTTAATTATGTCGTTCCTCTACAGAATAAGGGATGTTTGGACCGTTACATTCAGCCAACAGAAGCATATGGACAGACATTGACTGTGATGATGGACATCCATAAATAACAGTGTCATGTCAAGCTGAATCAAATCCATTTTTGCCTCCAGTTTTAATAATAATAAAAAATAAAAAAACACTCCTAAACACCACAAATTCAATGATATAAAGTGTTTCAGTCAGTTCAAATCCTACTATTACTTTATTTGTCTATCTACCATAACAAACAAAAAACAAATTGTTGCAAACTTTGTGGCTCATAAAATTAGTAATTTGCCATTTTATCGTGTTTCCATCTAAAAAACAACAGATGCCATTACGCAGTAGCGCAGGAGATAAAGTGTTTATCCATGAATCATGGAGTCCTGAGTTCAAATCCCACTTTCACTTGCGTTCAGTTGTTGTTACTGTTTCCAGCAAAACACCACTTAAAATGCTCTTAAAAATGTCGTTGTTCAAGGTTTTTTTTTTAATCGCATAAACCAAAGCTCTCAATAAAACCTGTCCAAAACAACCTGTAACTTACTTGTTCCAGTGGCTCAGGATGCAGTGTTGTGTTGGGATCGTGGAGTCCTGAGTTCAAGCCCCACTATTGCTTACATTAAAGCTCATGTATTGCATTATATCCAACAAAGTGGTGCAAAAGCAAGCCTTCAATGTGAAAGCCAGTGTGGCACTAATGGCTAAACACACGTTACATACGATCAGAACTGTGGTGGTGCCATGGGTTCAAACCCCCGCTCAATGGGTTTGAAATTCAACTGGTTTATTGTAAAATGACAGAGAGAATAGTGAAATATAAGTTCCTGCACATATTCAGACAAGAGATCTGTGGCTCAGTGGTAAGAGTGCTGCCTCATGGTTTCAGAGGTTGCTGGTTCAAGTCCAGCCAGATCTCCGCGATATGAGTGAGTGGTCTGGTGTGAGTGAGAAGGTGTGGGGGATCATGGTGTCCCCCCTGAGTTCCAGAACAATGTCCAGCAGGGGTTATACTTCATGCCTGAAAAAAATTAACTTTACTATAAATGTTTTCAACCCCTGTCCCTTCCCCACCTACTTAGGCTACCATCATTTGCTTTTCAAAGGGGTGCTCCTTCAAAAAGAAAATGATGGTAACCTACACATTTACAAGCAAACAACACACTGAACTGTTTTAAGTTTTACCTGTGCATCAGCAGATGTCCATCATCACAGTCAATGTCTGTCCACATGCTTCTGTTGGCTGTGTAACGGTCCAAACATCCCTTATTCTGTAGAGGAAAGACATAAATAAACACATCACTCCATATTGTGTAGCAAAAACTCAACATATTAGTCAGTCTAAACTACATTATACATAAGCATTGATGTATCGATAATAATATTTTGGTTCAATAAAAATTAAAGTCAAACTTTGTTTCACAGTAAATAACAGTATTGCTAAAAGGCGGATAGATTTTTTCAGCACATGGTCAGTCCATGTGCTGAAAAAATCTATCCGCCTTTTAGCATATATGATGGTTTAGCATATATGATAGCATATATGATGGTTTTTTACCATATATGATGGTTTTGATTAGAAGCAAAGCACTGCTGCTCTACTAAAGCATGAAGCAGCTTCACACACCAACTGACTCTATTACCATCAGTCCAGTAGATTACTAGCTACAGTAAGACTACAACAACAGAGACAATACTATGATTGTAATTACGCTTTATAATATGAATATTAAATGATTAATTAAAGATTATAAATGTAACTCAACAACAACTGATTAATTTGTTCTTCTGAAGGTCTGACAGGGAGCTCAGCAAGAGAGCAGCATGTAAACAAAGACTAAACACTTACAGGTAAGTCGCGTGACATCTTCCATTCCTGCATTTTTATCATTTTGCTTGTTTATGGGGTGAAATGTGTTCTGTTACGTGACAATGTCACTGAGCTGTCATTTGCAGAATTTATTCTTAAATGCACGTGTTGTTGTGACTATTATCAAGCGTCATGTTGTCAAGCATCTGAATGTGTCAAACTGAACCTGAAGCCCGATTCTGCCGCCTGGTGGAGCGGATGAAAAACTACACTTCAGTTTTTACCTTACAAATCACAGTTTATTGCCAACGGACTGAAAGTTGCTTCAGAGATTGGGTCACTGTCCATATTACAAAACACATGCTTTAACATTTTCATACTGAAGAAAAAGCAAAAGTCTGAATGTGTGTAAGGCAGGTGACAAACTGCTGATCATCAGCTCCCTCTTGTGGTCAATGTTTATCCGCGTTGTTAACTGAAACTACAAACCTGAGATCGTAGGTGAGAGGACCATCATCGACCGACATTTAAATTTAGAATATTTTACAACAAATCGAAAAAAAAAATTCACAACTTGACCAGCAGAGCAACTTGTATAGTGGTTTTGTTAAATGATCCAGATCCAGCTTTTAACTGTGGTAAGTCAGATAAAATGTGTTGTTGAACTCATGGCAAACTCATAATGTAAATACATAAAAATAAGGGACAAAATATGTTTTATATTGGATGAAGTAGACGTTTATTTGGTTTTATTTATCATGTTTGTTCACAATCAGACAATGACTTTGTGTTGTTGTTGTGTTTGCAGAATCAAGAAGCATTTATAGTAAAGCTTGACTGTCACTGATGAGGAGGATGTGAGTCTCCATCTGGAGATCACGATGATCATGATGTTATAGATGGAGGAGTGAGATTCTGGCTTCATCAAACCTACAAAATCAAACGTCACAACATTTAATACAAATTAAACCAAAGTAAAATGGGCTGGTGGAAATGATTGTCCGATTGGTCTGAGAGCATCCCCTCATAGGACCATACACAGGAAAAGCCGTTTGCAGAATGAATGGATGGATAACAGACGCATGCATACGGTCTAAATCTGACTGCAAATCCTCACAGATACCATTTCTCTCTAAGAAGGAACATAGTTGTGATGATACTTCCTTTTCTAGTATTTTTGACAGAAAAAGGAGGTTTGAGATCGGTCTGTAATTAATTCTCTTGGATCAAGTTGTGTGGTTTTTTTTTTAATGAGAGGCTTAATATCAGGCAATTTGAAGGATTTTGAGACATATCCTAATAACACTGACAAATTAATAATATTCAGAAGAGGATCTATGACATCTGGAAGCACCTCTTTTAGTAGCTTAGATGGAATAGATTCTAACATACATGTTGTACATTTTGATGATTTGACAAGTTTATACAATTCTTCCTCTCATACAGGAGAGAATAAGTGGAATTGTTTCTAAGGGGATCTATAGCACAATACTGTAGCTGACGGCTACATGGTTAGAATTTTATCTCTAATAGTATCGATCTTGGAAGTGAAGTTCATAAAGTCATTACTGCGGTGCTATTGGGAAATGTCTGCGTTTGTTGATGCTTTATTTTTCTTTAATATAGCCACTGTATTGAATAAATGCCTGGGGTTGTGTTTGTTTTCTTCTAAAAGAAACAAAAAGTAAGCAGATTTAACAGTTTTTAGAGCTTTTCTGTAAGTAGAAGTACTTTTCTCCCATGCAAGATGAAATACCTAGTTTTGTTTTGTTCCAGCTGCGCTCCATTTTCCGGGCTGTTCTCTTTAGGGCGCAAGTGTGCTCGTTAAGTGTGCAGTGTGTCGGACTGTTTTCCTTAATCTTCGAAAGGAAAACTTGAAATCGCATCATATGACCCCTTTAAGTGTAAAGGAGCAACCATATCAAAAGTGCTAGAAACGAGAGTCCATAGTTTCTGTTACAACAAAAAGTTTTTCTGAGCTATTGGATTTGCTGAGAAATTGAGAAAAGGCAGGTAGATTATTTAAAAGCAGTCTTTTGTTGTAGAAGTGATGGTTCTACCATATTTGTAACAAGGAGTTGAGTTTGCAGCTTTAGCTGAATGGAGTTGACACAATACCAGATAATGGTCTACTTCTTCCAGCTAGAATTCGATGCACTATTGGCTAATATTGGTGGGCACGGCGGATGAGGATTTGATTAGAACTACAAACATGAATAGAAAGTGTTAAAAACTACAAACATGGCGGATATGCGAGACCGACAATCAGATAGAGAAAGGGGTTTGAGTGATAAATAATCAGTGTCTAACCTGATAAAAAAAATATTTATTTAATGTTATCCATGTTATATTCATCATATTCATTCATATTTAATCTGCAGCAACATTGTGAAGTTTTATAATGATACATTTGGTCATTAACTTTTAAATGCATCATGCAAACAAATGAGTTCTCGGCATGAAAGACCTGCCACTGGTGATCAGCTCCCTCTTGTGAGCAAATGTACCAGCATGAAGAGAGCAAATTTGATAAAACTTTAAAAGATAGGCCTAATAGCCTATAAAAGTGCTGGAGATCAGGATAGTTAGGCAGCTCCTCCTTGTGGACATTAGGCTAAGTTTATCAGCATTAATAAATGACAACAGCATAAATGGACATTAAGCCATCTTTTAAAATGCACGTAAAATATTGTTCTTTTGTAAAGCATATGTGCATTTGGAGGAATTATCTGCTTAAAGGGAAAATCAACAATCTGGATAGATTTTATGCTAAATCAGCTGGAATATGTTTCCCACTTTGTGGCTTTTTTTTAATAAGCTAAGGAATATTTGGGGGTCACTCATGTGTGTTTAAATGCACGATTATGGTACTGAAGTCCTAAGCTGTTTCACTCTTTTGGTTCATAGTAGGTGCGCTTCATCTTTTTGACCACCAGATGGAAGTAACTGTGCAGAAAAGCTTTGCTTAATGAACACAATTTCAGTACGTTTGTAGTGTAAACGGTTGTAAGATGGTAAACTGCAGCTGCAATAGTGTTAAAATTACATTAAATATACCAAAACATTAAAAGAAGGGGGAAAATGTATTAAAAGAAAATGTTCTTTAGCTAGTGATTTTGTTCAGTCGGTGCTTGAAAGACCAGTTTTGCAGATGCAAGACCTGCCAGTGCTCAATAGGCAATAGGCTGTGGTCAGTCGGGCTTGGACTTGCAGAGGGAAGTTTATAAAAACACAAGCTCGCATTCATAAGTAACATAAACAGCCTCATGGACTCTAAACCATTTTTTTCTTAATCTGACTGTAAATTTAGATGCTTTATATCTCTCACCCTTTATTAATGTTAACTAGCTTTTAAATAACAATATCAAACCCCAAAAGACAGAATAAAAAGGATTGATTAAGGGACTGGGTCATCCTATCCCAGTCATCTTAAAGGGGTCATATGATGATTTCAATTTTTCCCATCTCTTTGAAGTGTTACAAGCGAATCTTCGAAGCTCAAAAAAATGGTATTCAGACCAGCCCTAGTGTAGAGTAGCGCTTGTTGTTTGTCGTTTCTCCGATCACAAATGCAGACATTGGGTTTGTTTACGCGGCGCGATAGGCAACGCGTAAAAAGACTGTATAAGTCATTATAATCAGTAATTATTTATGTCCCCACTGGATGCAACAAATGCCTCGTTTATAATGGGTTTTAATGTATTGTCTCGTCACTCCGGCCGGACAAGGCATGACAGTGTGTTAAGGGGCGTAACATTTCCGTCACACGCTTGAGGTATTCGGCCAATCACAACGCACTGGATAGCTGGCCAATCAGAACACACAGCGCTTTTCAGACCGATGAGCTTTGTAAAAATCGACGCGTTTCAAAAAGGCAGGGCATAGAGGAGAAACAATAATGTACAGTATGTGGAAAATAATGTGTTTTTTGAACCTTAAACCGCATAAACACATTTCATTACACCAAATACACAAAATAATGTTCTTTTTAGCAACATCATATGACCCCATTAAATGATTGCATTCTGGCATTCCTTCTAGCACATCCAGAAAATGTTTCACATAGTAGTGTACAAGTACAGTGTGTTCAATGGATTATACTGCAGTTTAACGAGATGTTGTTCAGCTGATGCAACACCTTGCCAAAAACACTTTTAGTACAAAAAATATCCATAAAACCTTTTTGAAAGTTGTGAGACTCTAATTCTGTCCTGGCGTCTAGCCTGACTAAAGTCTATTAGGAACACAGAACAGATTAGTACTAAAGATGATCAAAGCCAGACTATTATTATATTATATATGTATATATGTATATAAATAACATGAAAGTGGGTTGTTCATCAAAATGATTCACCTAGGTCATATTAACATATCATTGCCAACCCATGCTATTCCTCTTTGTTTCATTCCTTAAAATTCTCTCCGTTGTCACTGACAGTGTTGCCAACTTAGCAATTTTGTTGCTAGATTTAGCAACTTTTCAGACTACCCTAGCAACCTTTTCTTCAAAAAGCACATAGCAACAAATTTAGCTATTTTAAAAATTTATTTAGCAACTTTTAGCAACTGTGACAAATGATAAAAAGGCACACATTTTTTTCTCTAAATTACACAAAATTACACATAATTTAATCACGTAAATTAAGTTGCTAGTAGCAATTGTTCAATAATAATTGTTCATTTATGATAACACCTTGTTATTAGTTTGTACCTGCACTTGTTGATCAGTTTAAAAAATATTGTAGAAAATTTTGAAAAACCAATACAGAAAATTCCTTCAAATTATCACAGTACTTTGTGCCCTATTTTACAGACTTTTCTTGAAGTGTAGCATACTAACTACCAATACACTGCTTAAAAATATAATTGTTCAGAATGTGTAGTTTTACTAGTTTCTAGTAAGAAAATAGGCCTACATAAAATATAATCGTTCAAAAGTGTAAATGTTCAATAATTCAATGTTGTATTTAAAAAAATATTTATATTTTAATATTATTATATTAATATTTTAGTTTTACTAACAAATCTAAATTAACATTTCAAATCATATTCATAATCATATTTGAGTGACCTGATTGTATATTCTATGCAGTTTTGCGGTGTGATTACTTAATGATTGATGCATTTGCATCACAATGTCATTTAGCAACTTTTAGCAACAATTTGTCCTGCCTTTAGCAACATCTGAAAATTAGTTGGCAACACAGTGAACGTGATTTCACTGAGTGCAAAATGCAACATCCTTGTTGATCCTGGAACAACATTTCAAGCAACCAATCAGAATTGAGGGATGAGTTTACAGGAAATGTCAGTTTTAGCCTTACAGCCAGAGTTAGGTGCTTCTACACCCTTGTTATTCAACTATCATTTCCCTCTGATTTTAGGGATAAATTATGGGTAGGGTTAGGTTTAGTGGTAGGGATAGGGTTAGGTCTATGTTTTGGAAAATAATGTCCAAACAAAAAAATTGTTTGTTTTTTTTCTCCAACAAAACAATTTGATCCAGGAACATGTCTTACCGAATATCAGAAGTCATTTTGATACAGGCTTCGTAATCCTTCTGTCATGGATTACAAACATCCAACCAAGCTTTACTATAAGTGCTGACTGAATCTGCAAACACCAACACAAGACAAAAACAACTGTGAATTATGTTTTAAAAATAATTTAAAAAACATAAACATATAGGCTAAATGTTGCATTCTGGCATTCCTTCTAGCACATCCAGAAAATGTTTCACATAGTAGTGTACAAGTGTGTGAGGTTCATAAACAAACCATTCAAAGAGTTTTGGAAGAGCTTTTGTCCCATATTATTTGTGTTTATGACAACACATCGAGTATTATATTGTATTGCCCCCATTAGCTGAGAACTGTGATCTCAAGTAGACCTGTGGCCTGTTTCATAAAACAAGTTTATCAAATAAGCCAGGTTTTTTTTTCAGTTAGTATGACTTATTGTCAGTTGATTTGGGTCAAAATTAGTCAGAATAGCTGAAATAAGCCTGGCTTGTTTGGTAAAGTTGTTTTATGAAACAGCCCCCTGGTAGATTCCATGTTGATCTGCTGGGCTAAAATAAATAAATTAATAAGAATAATTTATATTAAAAATAATAACGTAATATTAAAAAACTCTAAAAATTGAAATATGTGTCCTCTCACACATGCCACTGTCCACATCGAGTTTGGCGTTTCATGTAACTTACTGTGATAAACTTACTGACCAAAAAGGGAACCAGTGATCACCTGTTTTTTTCACTTGCACATTTAAATTAATATATATGGACTTTCGCTTGAGTATACGAATGTTTCAGCAAGCTAGACGTTTTGGATGCAGCGGTCAAACAAACACGGTTCCTCTGGTAGATATTATTCCTGTTTACCATCCGCTCCACTAGGGGCGTAAGCGAGCATTACTTTAAGCCCTAGACCTTTGGATCCTTGGCAACACGACGCTCGATAACAGTCGCAACAGAACGTTTTAAGGCCATGCAAGTACGGATTGTGCCGATGACAGCTCAGTGACAGACTCTTAATGTCACTCAACAGCACATATTTCAGCCCATCCGCGAAAACAACCGACACACACTGTGATAAAGCGCAGGAACCGAGAATGTCCGACGACTCACCTGTAAGTAACTTTACGCATTAAGTGCGTTTCTCTTGACTAGCACGCATTATATGGCAGTTGTTATTTTGCATACAGTTTGAATTTTACTATCATAGCAAGGCTGCCCTGCCAGTTTAATTCGCGTTATGATGTTGTACTTCCTTTGACAAGCGCTCTTCTCTACCTCTCTCTCTCTCCAGCAATAAAATACCAATTTACTATGTTAATACAATACAATAAAGCGCAATAAAATAAAAACCTACCCTGTCTGCAGCAGAATGAAAGTGAGTGCGGATCGGCCCGTCGTGTCAGCAGGGAGTGGTGGCTTCACGTGGGTCTGTTGTGCATTCCTCTGCTCGCCGTGTATCTGCATATCCCTCCGCCACAGCTCTCACCTGCGCTCAACACCTGGCACTCTTCCGGTCACTTCTTCACATTCAGAGGCAATAACATCTTCTATAAAGGTATCACAAAAGCGTTGTTTACAAATTGACTATCTTTCTCATTTCCATCCCGTATATATATACACCACAAAACCCGTCATAAGGATCAATTTTCTTTTTAAATTTCTGAATAAATAAGTTTTCCATTGATGTATGGTTTGTTAGGATAGGACAATATTTGGCTGAGATACAACTATTTGAAAATGTAGAATTTGAGGGTGCACAAAATGAAGTTCTTAGCATTGCATATTACTAATCAAAAATTAAGATTTGATATATTTACGGTAGGAAATTTACAAAATATCTTCATGGAACATGATCTTTACTTAATATCCTAATGATTTTTGGCATGAAAGAAAAATCGATAATTTTGACCCATACAATGGCTATTGCTACAAATATACCCGTGCTACTTAAGGCTGTTTTTTTGGTCCAGGGTCACACACACACACACACACACATATATATATATATGATATAATAATATACTGTATTCCATTTGTCAATAGAGTCAGTTGGTGTCGTGGGAAGCTCTGATGTCCTCTTGCTGCTTCATGGTTTTCCTACTTCAAGCTATGACTGGTGTAAGGTAAGTCGTTTTGTGGTGTAAAACTGCATTAACATTTCAATAAAACAGCAATAAACTGAGAGCAATTTATAGACAGTGACTGGACACTGTGGTGTTTCTTGAATCTCATTCTGTTGTTTTGAAGATCTGGGATTCTCTGACTCAACGTTTTAACAGAGTCATCGCCCTCGACTTCCTTGGCTTTGGTTTTTCAGACAAACCGGTGAGATAAAAGACATGAGTCACAACCAGAGCCGATCCTCCCTATACACAAAGTACGCAAGCTGCGTAGGGCCCCCGAAACACCAGGGGGCCCCCTTGCTCTCAAAGATGATTTAATTTTAGTTTCGTTTTTTAATTTGGCCAGCGGTTATGAAAACATGAATGTTAATTACTTTTAATCTGGTTCGCTGTCGCCCTTTCTACATAAAAATCAGTCAAATCATGTAACGTCAAAGTCATACAGTCTCTTGCTCGAGACAAAAAAAAAAAGAGTGGAAAGCATACCGAGCTGCGGAAGAGACACTGTTTCTCAAGCGCTTTCCATGAGCGCGATTTGAGACGGAGTGAAACACGGACAAATGCGTTTCATTCATTCATACCTCGTACACCCCGGCTCTGGTCACAACTACTGTTTTTTATAAAAATACTGTCTTTTATTATCCGTAATTTGAATAATTAATTCTACCTAACAAAATCCAGCGAATGCACCGTTACTCCATCTTCGAGCAGGCCAGTGTGGTGGAGGCCCTGGTTGCTCATTTGGGTCTGTCAGAGCAGAGGATCAACATCCTGTCACATGACTATGGAGACACTGTAGCTCTCGAGTTACTGTACAGGTGAGTCCTAAGGATCCTTAAAAGTTTCTCGGCATAATTTAGCTTATTGTTCCTGTCTATATGATCTGGGTGGTTCTCACGTGCAGTTAAACACACAGGAATGACCATAACAGAAGCGGACACATCACGATAAACAGCCTCTGCCTCTCAAATGGAGGTACATTAGAGTTTTATTTAGTCAGAAAATTAGAATATATATTCTTAAAGTCTGAATGGAGATTCAAAACTTTGTCCATTTTGTTTTTTTTTTACTTAAAAGGAATATTCCCAGAGACTCATTATCCAAGATTTGTTCAGAAAGTGAGTGTGACACTTAAAAAACAAGTTTGTATTCATTTTTAAATATGAGAAGTGAATATTTCCAATCTTTGGTCATCTGTAGGTGCTGAAGGACTCTGGTTTAATTTCACCTGTACTTACCCGCCTAATAAACTTCCAGCTTTTCTCTAGAGGGTGAGTGGAGCGTCCAGAATGAAAGTGGTGTTTACTTTTATGCTAATTCACAGTTCAAACTATTTGTTGTACTTTACACATATAATTATAAATCATTTACTTGAATCATGCTAGCTGTGACCTAAAGCCTTCAATTGTAAATATTATATATTTATCCTACAGAATAAGGGATGTGTTTGGACCGTACACCCAGCCAACAGAAGCCGAGTTCTGGGACATGTGGACAGGAATTCGCTTTAACGATGGAAATCTGGTCATGGACAGGTGTCCAAACTTCTCCATGTGTTGCACTTGCAATGCTTTGCTTTTAATAATAACCGTCACCAACTATCGTTTGTTATTATCGTGTCTTGCCCAGTATCCTGCAGTACATTAACCAGAGGCTGAAACACAGAGAGAGATGGGTCGGGGCTCTAACCTCCACTTCAACACCATGTGAGTACACACACCATTCATACTGTGGTACGAAGTGCTGGTCATGCTACAAGAATGAGGTGTGTGAGTACTTAAAAACTCGGCCATGGGCAGTGCTATTGAGGCCAAGTAGTTTAATCCAATGAAAATCACTGCGGAAGCTGCTTAGGCCATCTGCAGGTGATAGTATATATTAAGTAAACATTTACATAGTTGAATGCAGTAGTGTGGTGTACAACATGTACACTATATTATACAAGCAGTGCAGCAGGACAAGCATGTTAACACCCATACTGTAGGACAGGAGGGTTGGATTTTGTTTTTTATAAATAGTTTTGTGGTTTGGAAGATAATTAGTAGGTAAATCACTTTAGGCTGTGTAATGGGGCTGTACAACATCCTTAACATTTGTACTTTGCAAATGTCACTGATTTATCACTTTTTTTTTTTACTTTGTAGTGCACATGATTTATGGACCACTAGATCCAGTTAATCCACATCCAGAGTTCATCCAGCTCTACCAGTAAGTATACATGTCAGTTGATATTTATTAACTCTGTTTACACTAACGTTATTAATATCTCTGGTAAAGAAGAAGTATTTATATAATTTTTAATCATTGCAAAAAAAAAAAATTGTCATATATAGATGGTGTTGGCCTAGTGGTAAGAACTCATGGTACAAGACTTTGTTTCTACATGAGAGCCCTGGGTTCAAATCTCGGGTGTTTTATTAATTTCAAAATTGGATAACAATTTTTTTAAAAACATTTGCTACATCTTCACACCTCAAACCATTGACATTTCCTCAGTCTTTTTGTTGGTTGATTTCAATTCCGACACACTGAGGTGGGATTTGAACCCAAGCCTCTATTGCAGCCTTGTCCACAACCAACATGTTTAGCCACTGCACCATCATGGCTCTCATGTTAAGTGTGGCAGTCTGGGATGGTTTGTTGTATGTACTGACAGCAATTTAAAGTCTCCGAGATAAAAACACAACACTTTATCTCCTGAGCCACTGAAACAGTTTGAGTATTGTGGATTAGTTTTGGATGGAGTGCTTTGTTTTATATAAAATGTAAAATGAACTCAGGACTCTGGGTACAAAACACAATTTTTTATCACTTGAGACTCTGAGATTGGAAGATTCTTGTCTGTTTTTGGAAAAAGACACATGGAGAAATAAATGTAGTAAAGAAATAGAGATTTGAACATAGTCTTTCTTGTAAAAACGGCGGTGATTTATCCTCTGAGCCAGTTTGTGGTAATGTAGAATTGAGTTTTAGCATTGGTTTTAAACTTTATTTATTGTGCATAAATATCATGAAAGATCATTGTTACTTCTGACATTCAATAAGTTTCTAATCTAGCTCCTCATGAACTGAATCCTTTTGAGTTAAAAGCACAGTAATTACCCACTACCTCTCCTAACCCCCAAGGTCTTGGAGTCGCTACTAACGAGCTGATGATTTGAATCAGGTGTGTTTGATTAGGAAGCGTTTAAAAATGTGCACTGTTGGTGTACTTTTGGGAGCAAGGTTGGGAAGCACTGCACTATCTGTGCCTTTAAAAGGGTTAGTCCTTTATAAGTAAAACTGGTGATTTCAAGTTGGAACTAATCATATAAAAAAAGATGACTCAGCTAAGATGTGACAAAGAGCAAACAGAACAAGCTATTGCTGTAGATAATCTGGGAACTATTAACACTGGAAATATTTCAACCACTTTTCCTGGTCTCTTTTTCTCATTTACAGGAAACTAGTGCAGCGATCCACAGTATCAGTTCTAGATGAGCATGTGAGTCATTATCCACAGCTGGAGGATCCCACAGGCTTCTTTAATGCCTACCTCAGCTTTATCAACTCATTCTGAGATTAGTAATGAGAGGAATATTGCCTCAAATAAGTATTTAGAAAATATTGCAATCTGTTTATTACCAAACCGCAGAGTATGTGAAATGTCAGTCATGTGTTTAAATGCATGAAACTGAAAGTATTGCACCAAATACCCAAAGTCATTACAACAGTCAATAAGAGTTTGCTCAAATACAATGCAATGCAAACTTGTAAATATGTTTGTGTTCTAAGCATGAATGCTTTTATTCAAATAAAAAGATCTTTGTATGAACTGTCTCCGGTTTTGTGTAGAAAAAACACTAAAACACAAGTTTTGTACTCTTGCAGACTGTTTTATTGTTGATAAATTAAAAGGTTTGTAGTAAAGGACTGTTTCCCCTGAGCTGTGACACAAGGCCAAAACAGCTCAAATACCAGAGAAACAATGTTTAGATCTGTTCCACATGAATTAAAGTGGCACAATATTTTAGAAATCTCTCCGAACAGACCAAATAAAGAAAGAGGATGTTTCAGACTCAGAGGATTCATGGCATCCCCACAAAGATGGTTGTGAGAAACATTATAGAGCTACTGTATAGCTATACATATAAAAGCACAATGACCCAGATTGATTGGCATGTGACCAGGTCATTCAAACATTACTCGTTTAGCCGACAGAAGCCAGGATGACGTCGACCACATTCTCATCTGTGCTCCTAACGGTCACCTGCATAGTGACCCCATCAGCCAGAGCCAGACGTGACCTCACCAATACATC